CAGCCTGTGACCCCCTATGCCCCCCAGTACCCACCCCACCACCCCACTCCCAGTACTTCACAGGATCATGGATCCACTAAACACACACATGGCATGATTTTCTAAATCACAGGGGCTGAAAGAGCTCCACCAAATCACATCCTTCCCGGGCTGTTTACATTTGGAGCACATTTTTAAGAGATAAAATTATCCATTCCCCAATATTTCTGGTGTTAAAATAAGAAAAAGAAATAAGAAAATAAGAAAAAATGCCTTTGGTGATGGGGATGACAATTATGTGTTACTGAACATATATTGAAAATATAGCCCATCGAGTGAACTAAAAATATCTCAAGAAAGGACAAATTCAATGAAGAAATAACATTATGGATCCCTAAACCTGTAGGTACCTCTGCCTCTTCCCTTTAATTAATGTAATAAATAATTTATTGAGCACTTAATATGAACAAGGCATCATGCTAGTAGTCAGGAAGAGATTAATAAAACATAAGCTCCTTCTCTCAAGAAAATCATAATTTACCAGGAAAGAGAAGCACTTACTAAATAACAGCAATACAAGGTTGAAATAAATACAGTCAATCCTCATAATTCACGGATTCTGTATTTGCCAATTTGCCTACTTGCTAAAATTTATCTGTTGCCCTGAAATCAATATGCCTGGTGCTTTTTAAGTCATTCAAAAGTCAGGACACATACACTGAAGTGGTAATTTTTGAGTCTCTTGACATGTACCTTCCCAGCTGAGCTGAAACAAGGTGATGCTCTGCGTTCTTGTTTCAGCTGTGAGACTGTAAACAAGCATCCTTTCCCCAGCCTATCTACTGCCAAGTTTTTTGCTTATTTTTGTGCTTTTGGCTGGTGATTTCAGTTTAAAATGGCCCCCTGATGCTGAGGTGCTCTCTAGTGCTCCTAAGCACAAGAAGGCTGCAGTGTGCCTTACGGAGAAATATGTTTTAGATAAGCTTCCTTCAGGCATAAGTTATAATGCTGTTGGCCATCAGTTCAATGTGAATGAATCAATAATATATATGCAATAAGATGTCTTGGGGTGCCTGGGTGGCTCAGTCGGTTAAGCGCCTGCCTTTGGCTCAGGTCATGATCTTAGGATCCTGGGATCGAACCCCATGTCGGGCTCCCTGCTCAGCGGGGAGCCTGCTTCCCCCTCTCCTGCTCCCCCTGCTTGTGCTCTCTCTCTTGCTCTCTCTCTCAAATAAATAAATAAAATCTTAAAAAAAAGACGTCTTTGAACAGGAACATGTATAAAACAAGTTTATGTGCTGATAGGTTGATGAAAATCTTATGACCAGAGGCTTGCAGGAACCTGACCCCAGATATCCCCTAGGAGCAAAGGTTCAACATTTGCTAACTGAGTGTTCATGAAGAATCTATAGAACAGCAATACTGCAAATAATGAAAATCAATTGTATTTCTTGAATGAATGAGTGAGTGAGTGAGTCACAAGAGGGATAGCTGAAATGCTCTGAATGTTCAGAGACAACTTCCGGTTGAAGGAAAGGGGAGGAATTCATTGGAAGAGGACACATGGGAGCTGAGTCTTGCAGAGTCGATCAGGTGTGGATAAACAAAATTGGTTATACACGCCAGCAGGGTGGAACAGCATGAGCAACATCATCGATGTGGAAAACCTTGGTGCTTGTCCTGCTTAAGAGCACAAGTCCCAAGATCTTTGAATAGCAGTTCTGTGACTTATGGGATGCATGATGTGACCTCAGGGAAGTTACTCAGTTTCCAGCGAAGTGGGTTAAGAACAGCATCTATCTCATAGGCTGCTGTGGGCATTAAAATCTGTTGTCTTGATCGAGAGCCTCCGCCAAGAGCCTCATGGTTGTTAAATATTTAAGACCTATCAGCTATCGCTGTTGGGACTATTTATATTCCTGGGACAGTGGCTATTTCCATTTGGCTCAATCATAAGGCATATGAGGCAAAACTGTGGGAAGCAACACTGGAAATACATGTTCACATCGGGTCCCAAGGACCTTGGATTCTAGATGAAAAGAAACTGGGTTTTCACACCATAGCACTAGGGAGCAAGACTACATTTTTCAACAGGGAACAGCTATGACAGGTTGTGCTCCAGCGTGACCTGGCAGTGGGAGGGGGAATGGATAGGAGGGGGAATGGATGGGCAGGGGCACGGTTGGAGCCTGGGATACCAATGAGGAGATGGATCAGAGGGGAGGTGAGGGTTCCAGGAGGAAATGGAGAAGAGAGAGTTCATGAGATCCGCAAGGAGTCAACTCCTAAGAGTCCAACTTTAGGTACAGGGCGCTGGTAGTGTTTTTGCTGGTTCGGTGGAAGCATTTAGGTTATGGAAATCAGGGAGCCATGAACTTATCCGTATGCATATTGACTGATGAATTCATTAACAAGTGCTTTAAAGGTTTTAGGCAAGCAGAATGGTTGGAGGATGGATCCATTTGGATAAACAAGATGGAAAAGGAGCAGAGTTGGGTGGGGACGATGCTGAGTTTTGTTTTCGGTCTGTAGAGTTTGAGAAGCTTCATAAACAGGGGTGATTTTGATGGAAAACTGATAGCCTCGTGCTACCACGACACACCATCTAAAACCTTCAATCTCAGAATCAAGAGTCTAGAAGCAGGGCTATAATCCTCATGGTTCTTAAGTGAAGCACCAAAAAAAGGGAAGGAGGGAGGGAGGGAAGGAGGGACCAAGAAAGGGAGGGAGAGAGGACTGGCCTTAGGTAGTGAAATTTAGGGTATTTATGAACAAATTGGCTGACATTTTTGTCTTCTCATAGACAATAGCAGGTGCTCGGATGCAGGCTTCTGTGCTGTACATAAATCTGATTGCCAGTCTTTCCTACAGAACACAAACGTACCACAGCCTGACTAAAATTCTAATAGAACACTCAAAAGTTTTGCAAGCATCTTAGCTTTGCTTGAAAAACCAATTGTCCAGTGGGGAATAAATAGATGTCCACAACGAAGGTTTTAAATGTCCTCATTCTTCCTCCGTTAATCCAATTCATTCCCCTCTGAGAAATAGCCTGGGGTAGAGATGGGGGGTAAAACCAAAAAGGTGAAATCCTTTTTCTCATATAAAAACAAGCCTCTTTCCTACTTTCAAGTGCAAAAGTGAGTAATCCAAGATGGCAGCTGTAACTGGCGCCCTAGTCTTAGTTAACCCGTGTGTGCTCATTAAAGAGCAGGGGGTACACAGGGCATTTATTTCAATAAAAACAATTAAGTATATACGTTTTGTCTGCTCAGCATTAATGATTCCCTGTTGACAGAGCTGCACGAGGGGTACTTCTTGGGTTTCAAAGCAAGATTATTGAACAGAAATGACTGTCAAGTCTTATAATTTGGGTAACTGCCAAACAGACCATGGATAAAAGCAGAAAAAGAAAAGGAAAACAAGAAACTGATTACCTGAAGCACTTTTTTTTTTTTTTTCCTATTGGAAAAATTACCTCTGAGGCCCCAACACTTATCTGTTCTGGCCATGCAGCCTCCAAAATGGAACACCCGCCATCATACCCACGGCAGGACCACACGACCTTCTCTCTAAGCCTGGGAAACCACTTCTAAACCACCTCTCGGGTATCACATCCAATGGGAAGAATTAGGGGAAGGGCATAAAGTACAAGAGAAACCATCAAGGGCTCTGTATCTGCCACTGTTCTCTCTAGAGTTGAAGGAGAGTATGCTTCCGCCTAACTTCTCACCAGATTGGTTGGGCATCTGCATTTCATTTTGATACTCCCACTCAATAAAGGATAACGTTTGCCCTAAAGTTGAAAAATATTTAAAATACAGTATATTCTCAATGAGCCAGAACATACCCCAATCAAAAGTATGTTTTACGAAACCTGATTTCAAAAAAAAAAGTAAACGATGAAGAAGGAGAAAGTGTCTGGGACGTCATTGAACATACAACTTCCAGAGGGTATCTTGGGGCCAAGAGATAGAAATCAGCCCTCAAAGGACAGTGGAGGACTTGTTAGCCCATCCGAACACCAGTACCCTGGGCGATGCAGAAGGAGGAGGACTAAACCATTTTTTAGACGGTTGCAATAAGACAGGATCTAAGGAAACCAGGAAATTCACTTCAGGCCCATAACCCATTCCCCAAAGTTTAACTGTGCTTTTTAGCCTAAAATTGTGCCTTCTTCACAATAAAGGTAGATCTGAATAAAAGCTAAACAAATAAGAAAAAAATGGAAATTAAGTATTCCAAATGACATATACCAGGAATCATCATTTGACTAATGGGAAGTCAAAAGTCTTCTATTTTTTATATTCACCCTCTTGTGAATGGGGCATCACCACAACAGCACACTGGGGTCCAGTTTGTGTCTGAGGTCATACCACTGGTTGATTGCAGAGCCCTGAATGGGCATCAGGTGCCAACATGATTCACTGAATGTAATGGCCTTTGACATTCACAGATGCTTGGCCATTGACCCCAACATGTGGATCTGGTTAGGGCGAGGTTCACACTTGACATTTGGAGGCAGATAATTATTTATTGCTGGGGGCCGCCCTGTGCACTGGCCTCTACCCTTTAGATGCTGATGTATACCCTCACCCATATTGTGACACCCAAAAATGTATCCAGACACTGCCAAGTGTTCCCAGAGGGGGCATGGGGACAAAAATCCCTCCCCAGTGGAATCACTGAGTTTGGAGATAGAGATGTCGTCCTGCCTATCCAGATCTCATCTTCAAACCCAGCCAACCACCTAAGGATCTGCTCCTACTGACCTAGAAAACAGTTGTAATGGCTGCACCTCACAAACCTACTTCTAACCCCCTCATAAGAATTATTGGACCTCCCACTCAGCTCTTTACTCCAGGTCTCCAGTCCCTGCACTAGGGTCTCCAATAGGCATCAGCCCAGGAACCTTAGAACCTCACCAACTACCCCCATATCTCCACCATCCTGTTCCTACCTCCACTCACAATCAAGGCAAGGGGATTTAATACCCACCATCTAGACTTGTTTCCACTTACCTTAAGGATAACATAGCAAAGGGATCTGCAAGTTGGCGGATTAAGACAGATTGTCTCATCACTTGCCTTGAACACCTGTCTTTCGATTAAGGAGTCAATGACTAAGGGTTCAGGCTTATCATGAGGATTCGGCAACCAGTAAGTGTTTATTCAACGCAAAGCAAGTCCCATGAGGACACGGCAGTCTGGGAAGTCTCCAGCGTTCTCTCATTCAGGAACCCACTGGAACAGGAGACTCGTCTGACGGTTCATCATTGTGTCTTCTACACTTGGAGGAGAGTCTGAAATATCGTTGATAGTCAATAAATATTTGTTGAATGAGTTAATTTACTTCTCAAAAACACTAGGTAAATGAATATTAACTAAGGGCATATTGCGTGTTCTGTGCTGGTTTAAGCAGAATGAATGAATGAATGAATCCATAAATCAATCAGTGATTCCTTGATAACGTGGTAGCTTTCAAGTGGCAGAGACCTCCATTTTCATATTAGAAATTGCAGTCGGCAGGATTCTGAGATGCCCCAGACATTCCTGACCCCTGGCATACACATACCTTCTCCGTTATTCAGTCACATACTAACCTAGGTGTTTCCGTGAAAGGATTTCGCAGGTGCACTTAAATCCCAAATCAACTGACCTTAAGAAAGAGAGATTATCCTTGGCGGGTCTGACCTAACTAGAGACCTTAAAGGTGACAGGCTTTTTCCTGGAAAGAGATTTGAAAGGTAAGGGGGAATTGGGTGAGGCAGAGTCTCTGCTACTGGATTTAAAGACGAAGCCGTGTGGCAAAGAATGTGGGTGGTTTCCGCGAGCTGACAGCCGGCAGGGAAGCAGGGACCTCATCTCTACAGTTGCCAAGAACTGCGTTCTGCCTCAGTCACAGGAGCTTGCAAAAGGACCAGGCCTTCCGATGAGAACTACAGCCCCAGAGTCCAGGTGAGGTCAATGCCTTCAGTGCAGATGTGTGAGACCTGAGCAGAGAGCGTGACCACACCGTGCCCAGGCTTCTGACCTGCGAACTCTGAACGAACCAGTTTCAAGCCAGCAGGTTTGCGATGATCTGGGATATGGCAATAGAAACTGATAGAGGGTTCAAAACAACATAGTCATTCAATAAAAAGACCACAGAGTTAATTCTCGTATTAAGGGGGCAAAGTTGGTGTCCCGTATGACCACGTGTCTGAGAAATGCATTCAGCCTCACACTTAGAGATGTCCTGACTTAATTCTTCATCTGCTCCCGCCCCACGGAAGGGGCCCTGCTATCTGCCTGAAGCTTTTGTTGTGTTAATCATGGTGAGAGCCACACTGGAAAGACGGAGATTTAAAATCCCAAGAACAAGGGGAGGGACAAAGGGGAAGAGGAATGGAGGGATGGGACAGAAGTAAGAGCCCATAATGAGCACCATGCTTGAGAGCAAACTGGGGAGGGGTCACGGGGGGCAAGAAAGAGATTCTGAGGACATTTGCTATTTGTATATGATCATAGGAGAGAAAGAGGAGAGAGGTTTTACCACGTTCAGTTACGCTGGACTGCGAATCAAAACCCGGTTTGGGCAATTGCACAATTTTTATTATTTTTATTATTTCTTAGACACCAGATTGACATTTTTAAATGTGACTTCTTGGGAGAATGGCACTTCATGCCGGCGCAAAAGTCCCAGCTTCCTTCCTACAGGTCACACTAGTATTCTCAGACTGGCCTAAGGGAAGGTGAACACAGCCTTCCCTTCCCCATTCTTGTCTTCTCCTAGCTCTTCCTAGTCCTGCCTCGAGGCCTCAGGTCTGGGAAAATTCCCTGAGGATCTATAAGCGCAAGTCTACATTTAAAAAAAAAAAAAAAAAGGCCTGTGTCCCTCTTGAAGCTTGCTGCTCAGTGGCTTACCGCACAACAGAGACTGCAGAAATGGGGGGGTTAGGGTGCTAATGCACAGACTAGAGATCTTGTTTAGTATCCCTCAGTACGCAGGATAGCACCCCAACAAAGGATATCCAGCCCCAAATGTCAATAGTGCTGAGGTGGAGAAACTCTGATTTACAACCTTTGGTGGGCAAGGACTGAAGATCAAAGACACCACGGAGAGTGATGGAAACCAAGCTCCCATAGGCAGGTTTCTATGTTTGGAATATTTGATGTTTTTGTGCAGAAAAAAAAAAAAAAAGGCAAAGAAAAAAAGCACCATTATTTTTCAGGTTAAAAAAAATGACTGCAATGAAAGGCACATGATGATAGAGTTCTTTAGCTGCCCACAGAGTAACCGTAAGTGAAAAGAGTACAGAAAACTGCAGACCAGTTTCAGAACCCTTCCTAAAGCTGCCCCACGATGCAAGGATTCTCAATGACTCTCCTGGGCTGCTTTTCCGCGCTTCCTGGGGCTCCATGCATTTCACTGACCTGGTTTATGTCTGCAGGATGGATACAAGGCTGTGCCGTTCTGAGAGGTAGGGTAGATGGGTTTAGGTCCCAGGATTGGGCACCCAGAGTCTTTGTAGGAGATTCTACAGGAAGAGGAGATGTCATCGGTGGGGATGACTGGACAGCAGGACTGAAGACAGCAGAGATGGGCTGGCCATTGAGGTTCCAACCAACACATGCTCTTTCTCTAAGTGGCTTCCTAGATGCATGGGACACATGGGTCAGGGAAGGGCAAGCAGAGAGCTGGGATTCAGTCTCAGGAATGCCCTTGCCTCCAGCTTCCCACCCATGACCTTGAACTGACCAGCAAGCCTCTGTGCTCTCCGGGAGCCGTGGTGTGCTACTGATGCACGGAGGCCTGAGGAGCTGGTCTGCCTGAGCTGGTGAAATCAGAGGAGGGGGGATGCTCGCATCCGCATCCGATAGACTCCAGGGGACCCACACAGAGAGGCAGAGCCGGAGCGGCTCATGGGCCGATGATGGCCAAGGTCTCTTTCCAGTGGGAGATGGGAAACAGAAACCAGTAACACAGTCGAGAGACACAATTCCCTCTTATCGTACAATTACATGTCTTTACATTTTCTGGCTTTCCTTCTTACCTGCTTTCTCTACGAGTGCATAAATCTTCAGTTTCCATGCAACAGGATTGATGGAAGCATATAAAGAGGCGTAAAACGAATCATCGATTTCATCTTACCTTTTCCCTTTGTTGTGGCAGAAGCAACCAGCCTTTGGACAGCTTCCCCACACACTCCTTCATCCCACGTTGACTTGCCCCGGTGAGGTAGCCGCAGCTCGTCCTTTGGCGGGCCTTTGCCTTGTTCCAGAATGCTCTGCATGAAATGGCAGTGAAAGTCCAAAATCATTCTCTTCCTTTTCTTTTTTTTAAAAGTAAGCTCTATGCCCAAAGTGGGGCCCAAACTCACAACCCCAAGATCAAGAGTTGCATGCTCTACGACTAAGCCAGCCAGGCGCCCCATTCTCTTCCTTACTTAATGTTAGTTTGATGCCCATAGTTTTATAATAATCCTATGATAGAAACAACTTTATCTTCACGGATTTTACCGTAACCATTTAGTGATGATTTTGAGCTCTCATGTGCCCCATCTCTCTCTCTTTTTTTAAATTCAGTGAAATTTAACATTTATTGAGTTTCTACTCAGGGCCAAGTTCTGCGCTGGGCTGTTGGGGGTGGGGGTTGGTTTAAAGCTGAACCAAACATCCATCAGCTCTTGAAGAGCTTTTGTTGTTTTTTTCTCTGCTGCATGCCAATGAAACCAATGGATTGTTTCATTGAACAAATTAACTGAGTACCTACTAGGAGCAGAAACATAGTGAAACCCATCCGGAGAAGAAAAATAGATAAGAAATATGGGTATTGGGAAACTAAGAAACATGACATGAAATCAGGGGTAACAACAGCAAACAGAATTTATCTGCGTTTGGGGGAAGGGGGCGCCATGTTTAGCTCCAAGCTTCCGAGCAACCAATTGAAGAGAGAAACAAGATCACCCCATGTATCCCCAGTATAAAAACAAGCAGAGAAAAGAAATAAGAACACTGCTACTCTTCCAGAAAGAACGTTCTCTCTCTTATTCTCATAACATGGACTCTTCCACGGTGTGACACTAATGATGTTTCTGGAAGACACATAGGGAAACAAAGTACCTAGGAGCTCACACCAGAGGGTCCAAGGGCAGCACGTGGGTAAACAGACATGGCACGCCACGGGAGAATCTAGAGAAAGGACACCTCAAAAGACCTTGCGGAACAGGCACTGAAGGTAAGACTTCCAGAAGCAGAAAGAGCAACATTCCAAGCAGAGAGCACAGCCTAAGCAAAGACAAAGAGTTCGAAGGAGACAGAACATCTTTTGAAACACACAAGGTGCCTGGGGTGGCTTGAGTTTAGGTCTCATGGCCGCAGGTGAAGGGAGATAAACTACAAAGGCAGGATGAAGCCAGACTGTGAAATCTCCTGAAGGCGACCTGAGGGGTTGAGACATTATTTTGTATGTTGTGTTTTGACCGGAATGGGGAGGCATGGGATGTTTTTAACAACAGATTGATGGGTTAGAAGAAGGGGAGGTGGCAAGACCCAACCCAGGGCTAGGTAGTGACAGTGTAAAGAAGAGAAGGACATGGACAGTGGACGGAGGAAATGAGGAGGATAGAAGAAAGAACCATGGGAAGGTGGCATTGACTGGCTTTGGCTCATGACTCCATCCTTGGCAAAGATCCTTGGCTTGGAATATAGATGCTCTGCAGAGTTTGCTAGATGAGGAACTATGTGTTGAAGATAGGGGGAAAAGATATGACAAAAAAGGCTTTGGGTTTTATAACCTGAACAGCCGGAAGGATTCCAGCAGCATTAACTAGGCTAAAGAAGACGGATGAGTCTGAATTGTTTTTACAATATGCAAATGGAGGTTCCGATCTGTGGTGGCTTGAAGGGCACTGGCTGCAAGAGGCAGAAGGAGTGATAGAAATATTCTGCACCTTGACTGGGTTGTTAGGCACATAGATGCGAACATTTGAACCTCCCCCCCAGTGGCACAAGTAAGAGCTATGTGTTTTATTGCATATTAATTATACCTCCATAAATTAAGGCTTTTTTGAATGAATTTAAAATTTCCAGCAGACAAAGGTAGAGATTTTAGTTCTGCCCTAAAGGAACCCATACAGGCAAATAAATACAAAAGAATCCAACAATAGGGAGAAATATAAGGTGCGGAATATAAAGGGTAGAGCATAGTCCTGGCTGGGGTTTGGGGAAAGCTCATGGGCGGTGCTATTTGAACTGGGTTTTGAAGAACACACATTCCAGAAATAAAACTGCCAAAAGGAAAGACAGGAACCGTAATTTGCTAATGACTCATTGCATGATCAAGTTGAGACACATTTATTGCAACACATTTTAAGGCAATGCAAATGCGCACGAGTGTATGCCTCCGAAAGGGACTGGTAGGCAGTGTGGAAGAACACGGGTTGGAGCTGGGCGGTTTTCAGGGTAAGCTCCGGCTATGCCCTTTATTGGTTGTGTGGCATTGGGAAGCTTTCTGCAGGTGCATATGCTGATATCCCTACTATCTGGTAGTGGTGACGATGAGGTCAGTCAATGAATGTGAACTGTTCACAGTGTCTGTGAGCATAAACTCATGATGTGATTACATAACAAGGGCCTATGCTTAGTATTAATATGATTGTTAAATGGGGCACCTGGGTGGCTCAGTCAGTTAAGCATCTGCCTTCGGCTCAGGTCATGATCTAGGGGTCCTGGGATCGAGCCCCATGTCTGGCTCCCTGCTCAGCGGGGAGCCTGCTTAACCCTCTGCCTCTCACCCCTGGCTTGTGCTCTCTCTCTCTCTCTTTCAAAAAAAAAAAAAGAAAAAGAAATAAATAAAATCATTGTTAAAATAACACACCAAACAATACCCATCCAGTTGGCAAGGCTTATTTTCAAATATTTCAGGTCTGAATGTTTCAAGGTTGGTGTTTCTCAGTCTTGACCGAGGACTCTCTGCAGTGTCTGATGTTAAATCGAAAACGTGTTAAACATTTATCACAGCGATGCGTATCTAAAACAGAGAACATTCTAACCATATGTGTGTGGAGGGCGTGTGGGCTGTGGAGGATTTTTCCCTCCTCAGTTATGTGGTGATCATGTGTCCCTGCTGATTGTGTGGGAGGTGGGGAATCACATCGCACATTCTAGCCCCTGGCCCCTTGCAGAGTGTTTGAGGCCAGAGAAATCACAGACAGAAGAATCTGTTGGTTTAAAAGATTTCTCTCAGAAACCATCAAGCCCCTGACTGATCTCACTAACCAACCATAAGTCCAAGATTGATCTTTCCCCAACCTGATCTCATGAATCAAGCAAATTGCCTTTCCGCCATCCCCGGAATGCTTAGCAACTCCAGCTTACAAAGAGGCTTCAAGGGGGGAACAGTCTTCCTGCATACAAAAGCGCTTCTAATGATCTGTGCCCAGTGCGACATACCAGAGCAATCACTGGGGGACAGAGGTAAATGGTGAGAGACCAAGTCTCGTGGGGAGTGCTTATTTATTTATTTATTTTTTTAAAGATTTTATTTATTTGAGAGAGAAATGAGACAGAGAGAGCATGAGAGGGGGGAGGGTCAGAGGGAGAAGCAGACTCCCCGCCGAGCAGGGAGCCCGATGCGGGACTCGATCCCGGGAC